GCCCAGTCGTCTTATACGCCGGCAAATACGGTAAATTCACTCTAACTGGAGCGGAGAGGACGGGAAGATGAAAGGGAAATTTTAGAAGGCTCCTTAGAGGTGTCTGACATGAGCCTGGTAGGAAAAGCAGACCTTCGAGAAGCATGAACGAGATGGGCAAGCGCATTCCTGGCCCCCAGGCTGGGGACAGCACATGGAAAAGGCACAGAGACAGGCCAGTGCCGGGAAGGCAAGAGCCAGGATTGGGACACAGTCTGTGCGGACGAATAGAGGAGAAACTACGAAGGCCTGCCATTGGGAGAGTTATGTCCCATTATTACTTAAAGGAAAATTAACGTTGAAAGCTAAAAATGAGAAAAGGTATCATTTCCTAAAATATACTTGCAAACTTTAACATATGCGTGATGTCTCTCTTTGTAAATAAATAATGGAAAATAGAACAACATGTGTCAAATTTTTAAAGTATTCTGTGCAAAAATGAATGTGCACAGCACAAATTATGTCTTGTTTGATGAGGCCCAAAATATTTTAAGCAGCACATTTTGGTAGGCAACAGAAACACAAATTATCTTTAAATAATATTGGCACATTAGAAACAGAAACTACATTAAAGGTAAATTCCAGTTCCAAATTTAGGTGCCACTCCTCGCCAAGTTCAAAATTATAAATGTGTGCAATATATTGTCTCAAATCAATTCCATGGGGCATGTGGCCCTCCCCCAAGCACTTAAAAAGAACTTGGGAGGTGGCTTACTTCCTCCACTTTGGAATGACAGCCACGGAGGTTATACACCATTAGGTTGTTGCTTCTCCACAGTTTCTGGTACAAATATTTTCAATGCTTCAAAAGCTTTATTTACTGGGCGATGCCTCCAAAGCACACCCCATAAACAAGATACCTTCACCACTACCAAAGTGTGGCAGAGGTCAAGAGTGAGATATTTCATGGTAACTGAAGTTACCAGTTGAACAAAATCATATCATGTGGGGCCTCCAGAAAGGCTGATGAAATATGGGAACAAGAGACAGCTGTTTTCACTTCGGACGTTGTCCTCACTGTTGTGTGAGAGGGCTTTGAGTGATGCAAGTTTCTCTTGGGCCTTTGCCTGGATGTCATCACCACCTGGCACTGACATTCTAATTGGCCAGACCAATCTGTCCTCCTTGAAGCTATAGAGCATGTAATTTACATCCAGTCAGAATGTAATTTACTCTCCCACTCGTGCTTTACTATTATTGTGTTGCTGTTTTTTATGGCCCCTGGAAAGAAACAGCACAAAGGTGGGCCTCAACCACAGCCTCAGTCAAGGCCATGTGGATGTCCTACACAAACAGCATTCATCACACAGCTCAGTCAAGTCTGCTTTTCTGTATCTGCCAGTGATAAGGTGCCAGTAGCACAGACCACTTATCTTGAGTCTGCTGAATATGGACTTACCTTGGCGGATGAAAGTTTGGCTGGTATCCAGCAAAATATCACAGCCCTCTACTATCATTCTTTCTATGGCAAGATTCTTCCTTATGTTTTCAGTGTCACTCACTTCATCGTGCATGATCCTGTCAGACACAACACAGACAGGTCAGCAAAGAAGAGCTCCCCCTGGTAACTTGGATCAATGTAACTGGGGCTGTAGAGGATGCAGACTGAATGTCCAGGCTTCAACTAGTCATGACCCAAAGCAAGGCCAATGGACATCATGACTCTAAATGATATGTAGGTCAGTGATCAGTGAATAGCCTGGAAATGCTGCTTGCAAATGCAACAAGAAAGCAACATATAATATTATGAACAGCTCCCTTCATTGAAATTAGATGCCATTTCTTAGAGGCAGAGTAAACTAGAGATCTTTGCACCATTTATCCCACACAAGCTAAAGAAACACAGATATAAATAACTGCCTGAAACACTGAAAAGTCACTGATAAATCCAAAATATACATTCTCTAGCTTCTTGGCAAATACGAATACAAAAATGTAAAAAAAAAAAAAAAAGTCATTTTTCTATCACACTGAAAGAAATGTGAACATTCTCAAACTTAAGCCAGAATACGCCTAATCTCAAAAACCAGCATCAAACTTTCAGGTGAAGCTAAGAAGCTGGATTGTGTCTTGCATCTCGCTCCCATAGGTTAGACTTTCCCAAAAGGCTAACTTGCACTTTCCCATATCAAGCGTTTATTATAAATTCTCCACATACCTGGACAGTTCCTCTAGTTTTGATTTAGCAAACTCCAGGCTTTTCCTCTCCACATGCTCATGGGGCGTATGAGCTAGGAGCTCATGAAGCGTAATGATGTACCTGGGGATCTAAAGGCAAAGGCCAGTGTGAGCGTGAGGTGAGGCTGAGTCACCCCCGGACACTCCCTGACGTGCTGCCATCACGTCCAAGGAGCTCATCTCTCCTTTCGCAGTTTTGTTTTACAAATCTATTTTTTAAGAAATAGATTTACAATAAACTATGCTTCAAACTTCACACACACACACACACACACACACACACACACACACACACACACATACACACTTCACCAAGAACACATGAAGAGTAATAAAGTATTATGTTACGAAGAAACAATTGTTTCTTCCGATTTTTTAATATAATCATGTATTTCTTAATCATAATTTTTGAAAATTGGTTCATAGGGAAACAGATTTAGCTATCATCAAGTCATTGGAGGCTGTATTTTATGTATACTTGCCATTTTCCAATTTTTTAAAAAAAATTGACAATCCTACTCCAATGTTCTCTTTAAGGATTAAAATGGGAGGATATACATTCACCCTTGTTACATTCTGATCCTGCTTCACCTCAATTCATTCTTCCAGCGTAAAAAGTATTATTTAATTAGATTATTTACTTGTACTTTTGTTTATGAACAGACTATCTGAATTCCATCAAAGGCAGAAACTCCACCAATCCCACAGAGGTTTTAATAGACCACAGAAGACATTTAATTCAAATTATAGTGACTCAACATATTTATGTTTTTACTGGCTTAGAAACTAAAATTTTTTAGAAAGCAGGGGCAGTGGGTGTAATTTTAATAGTAAATGGTAAATAGTAAATGGCTATTTGCTAGCCATTAGTAAATGAACAATAAATGGCTACCATAACACGGCCCGCTGTGAATCAGATCAGGTGCTCACGGATTGTACATGTGTCATCACCTCCAGAAAGAGAAGGATTATTTCCTGTTTTACAAATAAGAAAACAAAGTGTGGAGAGGTTTGGTAACTTGCCCATGATGGCTTCATAGTAAATGGCAGAGCCAACCATGAATCCAGTTCTGACCAGTGCTCTAGCCCAGTGTGTCTCTTCTGTGGAACGGGGGTCTCACTCAGCACTTGAAAGGACCTCTGAGAATGAAGAAAGGAAAACAGCTTCCCAGGGCCCTTTGGGTAGCTCCTTCCATTCTGACCGGAGGTGTTAGCGGCTCTATCCACAGATCTGCTTTTACTCTCATGCAGGTGGTGGTCTTCATTGGGTTATTTACTAATATTTACTGAGTGTCCACATTTATTCACGAGGCACAGAGGGCAACACCATCAGCACAGACATCAATCTGATGCTCCTACTCTGTCTGGAATCTTTCCTAGAGAATGTCATCAAGTCAAAGTTTTGGCAGTGTACAGCCTTCCACTAACTTCTCACTGAAACAGCCTGTAGGGCTGTACCACCGGATGAAGGCTCTAGGGATAAGTATGCTTTCAAATACCTCTTTTGCATAATCCTATGACTGATAAAAGTTTGCCTCTAAGTTAGTCGTTCTACAAGGAAATCAAGGCAATCAACAGCTAATGTACTCAACTTTTCATAACAAAAAGGGCAGGAGTGGGAGGGTCTGACTACTTATAATGCACTGAAAACCCACAAAACTAAGTTTAGTCAATAGCTTCACCATCCTCCCCCATTAGTGAATCTATTTTAGAGAGCTCCTTGGCTAAGATTCAAGAGGATGGATTTGAAATTCAGTAACTGGCCTTTTCCACTTTCTAGTTGGAGGAACAAACAAGCCTGAAATTGCCAAAAAGCAGACCAAGGACATTCTGCAGACAAATGGATGGCTCTCCAAAGAGCTCATCTGTATATTCAAGAGCTGATTATAAATCTGTTCCCAAAAAACCCAAGAATCATAGAAAATGCTGTCTAGATGAATCATAATTCTGCTTTCAATTATGGAACAATACTTGTCAATTTATAAACATTAATTAGCTTGCTCTTCAATTACAGTAAATAGGTGCCTAGTTTCTGGAGAACATCTAACAATGCTGTTCTTGTCGGAGCATTTTATGATGGGCTTACCTACAGCCTTATGAACAGCTGGAGCCCATGGAAACAGTACCAGCCAAGCCACTGCCTTTGCTAAATAACCATTATGCTAATGACTACATTATTTTCCATAACAAATTTCTTGGCAACACTTGGACTTACTTGTCTGACAGTTCAATTGAGGATAAATTCACTGCATCATCCAAGTTCTACAATGCCTCCATGTTTCCACAATTCTGCATAGTTCCTTATCAGCAGTAATTGACTTACTGGACGAAGGGCACAGAACGAGGTAGAACACAACACTTTTCTACACATAAATAGGTGAAAAGTTGCCGATCGCCTCTCCTTCTCCCTCTGCCCCCATATCTAGGCTCCAAAATAAGTCCGGGCAGAAGCCCCTTGGTGGTGTGAACTAGGGTCACCTCTTCCATTGTTGTTATACAGCTAAAAAGTGCAGCACCCCAACCTCATCTCAAGGTGTCCAGCCTACACTGAAGCAAGGCAGAAGTGCAGAAGTACCATTGCTGATATGTGTGTGAGGGGATTAGATACACCTGTATCACCTGAGGGAGCAAAGGCCTTTATGACTATTTTATCTCGTTACTGAAAGGACCAAAAAGGAACAGGAAGAATAGAACGAACATGAACCTAGTGAGAAACATCTTCAAGCATCTAGAAAGGGCAGTTTTCCCCCAGTGTTCCATCTGGTCACTCCAGAGACAGGGCAGGAGGGAGGGACACCAAAAAAAAAAAAAAAA